GACCGTAGAAGCGGATTTGTGGTCTTCCTTCAGGTTCCGCAGATGCGGAAGGAATACCGCAGAAGCGGTGGCGCATCTGCGGAAGGGCAACCGCAGATGCGATTTCTGGTCATTTAAATGAAAGTCGCAGATGCTACGTAATTTTCCGTAGAAGCGGGACCGCAGATGCGGTCCCAGGGCCGCAAATGCAGGAATCACTGGGCAGAACCTATATTTAGTTGCCTTTGCGAAATTGAGCCATTCTTTCACCATTTTCATCCGGGTTTGAAACTTTTGAGAGAGATTTTTGAGGAAAACAAAGGGTAATCGCTTGGAGGTAACGTCCTTGACTTCATAACTCGTTCTATGTGATTAAAGACCTAATTAGTGATGAGAAATTTGGGAAAAATGGGTAATCAGGGCTCGAGTTTAAGAGGCCTTTAAATGAGGATTTGAGGGTCATTTGGACTCCGATTTCAGTGTTCTTGGTATGTATGAACTCATGAGAGTATGAGGATTCCGAAAATGTAAATTTTACCTGATTCCGAGACGTGGGCCTGAGGGGCATTTTGGTCATTTTACCTAATTTCGCGTATTAGCTTAGAATTTAATTATACAATCAGTTATTTGAAGTGTTATTTACATTATGAAACTTAATTGAATAGATTTGGCCATTTGGAGTCGGATACTCGTGGCAAAGGCGTGGTTTTGGGTTGACTTGCACTTGTTCGAGGTTAGTGGCTTGTCTAACCTTGTGTGGGGGACCTTTCCCCTTAGGACTGTTATTGTGATAATTGAAATGCCTTGTACGTGAGGTGACGAACGCGTACTTGTGCTAAATGTTGGAAATCCGGTTTTTCATTAAAAATAGCCTTGAATTGTGTTATTCCTTTTTCTTGTTTACACTACTCGGAAATTTAGCTTGCTGTTAGTTTAGAGAAGCATGTCTAATTGACTAAATTGCTCTACTTGCCTTAAATGCCTTATTTAAATTACGTGAAGCATGCTAGGTTAGAATTATCTATTTTGTCTTGGTATGAAGTTGAGCTTAATTGAGTATTTCTTTTTGCTATTGTTGTGCGTTTTATTTTGGGGCTACGGGAAGGCATCCCGGGAGACCCCCTGTACTTATTTATGATCGAGGTGAGGTGCGGGATACCGAGAGATCCCTGGCACATACCTATTGAGAATACTAAGAGATCATCGGGATACTGAGAGATCCCTGGCATATATTGAGGATACTAAGAGATCCTCGGGATACCGAGAGATCCCTGGCATATATTGAGGATACCAAGAGATCCTCGGGATTCCAAGAGATCCCCTGTTATCATCCTTGTGATTGTTTTTGCCTCTATATTAGTCGTAGTTACCTTTATATCCTGTGATACTTATGTTGCACTTAATTATACTGTTCTTATCTACACTGTTGAATTTTTATATTCTATTTAATCTCAGTAGGGCCATGACCTTCCTCGTCACTATCCAACCGAGGTTAGGTTTGGCACTTACTAAGTACCGCTGTGGAGTACTCATGCCCTTCCTGCGCATGTTTTCCATGTGCAGATCCATGTACCTCTACTCAGGCTTACCATTCTTGAGGCGAGGCGATTCTACGGGCCTTCGAGGTATATCTGCCGCGTCCGTAGACCGAGGAGTCTCTTTCTATTCCTGCATCTAGTATTTAGCCCTTCTGTACTTTATGTTCTTGATTAGACATTCCGAAGATTAGAGCTATGTAATGTTTTCTCAGCTTGTGGATCCGTGAGTTTCCGGGTTTTGGGATAGTGTATCAGATTTTGAAAAGTTGTGTGTATATGCCAAGCAACATTTAAATACTGTTTCTTTCACTTATTCGGCTTTTGATTATTTATTTCCGCATGATTAGTTATTTTCCGCATTCGTTAGGCTTACCTAGTTGTAGAGACTAGGTGCAGTCACGATAGATCACGGAGGGCGAACTGGGGTCGTGACAAATTGGTATCAGAGCTCTAGGTTCATAGGAGTCGTGGATCACAAGCCGGTTTATTAGAGTCTCACTGATAGGTACGGAGACGTCTGTACTTATCTACGAGAGGCTATGTAACTGTTAGGAAAATTCCACTTTATTTGAGTTCCTTGTCGTGCGAGATTTTTGATATCACAATTCTAAACTTCTGTCTTTCTATTCTCTCACAGATGGTGAGGACACGTGCTACTCGAGATGACCAGGCACCCGTGCCCCCTACTGGAGCCGTTAGAGGCCGGGGCCGGGGTAGAGGCCGAGGACGCGCTCGTGGTGCAGCTAGAGCACCCGCACGAGCTGCCGCCGAGGTACCACCAGCAGTACCAACCGGGGTCCAGACGCCTGATACGTCTGCCACTACTACTCCAGCACTCCAGGAGACTTTGGCACGGTTTATGAGCATGTACACCACTTTGGCTCAGGCAGGGTTGCTTCCCCTTGCCGCAGCCACATCCCAGGCTGGGGGAGGAGCGTAGACTCCTGCCGCCCGCACTCCTGAGCAGCGAGTGCATGTTGATCAGGTCCCAGAGGTTATTCCTGCACCGCCTGCAGTGCCAGTTCAGCCCGAGGACAGGGCAGCGGCTTCAGAGAATGAGCAGCGGAGACTTGAGAGGTTCAAGAAATATGATCCTCCTGTATTCAGTGGATTTGCATCAGAGGATGCCTTGGGATTTCTGGAGGAGTGCTACCGTATTCTCCATACTATGGGCATATCAGGATCGAGCAGGGTTTCCTTCACTGCTTTCCAGCTTCGAGGAGCCGCCTATCAGTGGTGGCGTGCTTATGAGTTAGACAGTCCGGATGAGGCAGCTTCCCTGACTTGGGCTCAGTTTGCAAATATGTTCACGAGGGAGTATGTCCCCCAGAGTCATAGGGACGCCTGGCGCATGGAGTTTGAGCATTTGCGCCAGGGTACTATGATTGTCTCGGAGTATGCTGTCTATTACATTGACTTGGCTAGACATGCACCGGCTTTGGTTTCTACGGTTCGCGAGAAGGTTCGCCGGTTTCATTGAGGGGCTTATTCTCAGCATCAGATCTAGCATGGCTCGTGAATTAGAGATGGATATATCTTACCAGCAGGTGGTGAGCATTGCTAGGAGGATTGAGGGTATGCTGTCACACCTCCTTTTTACCACACCCCGAAAGGGTATAATAAAAGGGAGTTTTTCCAATTAAAGGACAATCGAAACGGGATCCATTTTATTAAAATCAGAGTCGCCACTTGGGAGATTTATGGTGTCCCAAGTCACCGGTTTAGATCCCGAATCGAGGAAAAGGTTTGACTCTGTATACAGTCTGCGAACCAGAAATCCGGGTAAGAAATTCTATTAACTCGGGAAAAGGTGTTAGGCACTCCCGAGTTCCGTGGTTCTAGCACGGTTGCTTTGATAATACTTGGCTTACTAAAATTGTTTAATCACCGATTTTAGAACCTATGTGCTTTTACTTCCTTCACCGCTTTTAAATAAGAGAAATTATCTTGAAACGGGTTACGCGTACGTACACCCGCTTGTTTGACGCGTCAAAAATCATGTCACGCGAACGTGTCCACAATTAATAACGCTTTATTATTATTAAGAAAGTTTGGCCAAAGTTGCGCGAACGCATACTCCGATTTTATTTTTTTAAAATCGTAATTATGTTACGCAGACGTATACACAATCACAATTGTATTTTAAATGGCCCTAAAGGCTTTTCGACGATGTTTGAAAAGTTGCAATCTGTTACGTGATTCTCCTAATATATTCTAATAATAATCCTGACTTAGGATATAAAGCTAGTATAAAAAATGCCCAAACATTCTTCCAACTGGGATGAAGGGAGCAAACACGAGAGCTTTTGCTTGAAAAGTGAAACATAGGCATCGAAAAGATATAGGCATACGAACACGAAAGTTCAATTTTAAATCAACTGACCTACTTAAATTAAAACTAGAAGAGAGATATAGTTGGAAAGTTTTCATTTTTTAAAGTCAAATGATAAAATTCGATAGCTAAAAGAAGGCTAGCCTGCCAATACACACATTCATTTACTAGCAGCTCTGGACCAAACGGACTACATGGAGGCATCTCAACAATTGATCATCTATATACACAGGAGAATTGTCCACAAAACTCAACCCAGTTCCCAACAATATGTTTAAACAGGTAGTACTGATATTATAGAAAACGAAAATGCAGAGTTTGATAACACCGTCGAGTGCAGAAATTTTATATTGCTTCCATTAAACATACAACTAAACCAACATTTTTTGCACCTTAATCAACAATTAACACCAGAACATCGATTCAGAATACAAACCCCAGGCTCAACACTGCTAATCTTGACTCACCAGAAGCTAACTAGCATATACTTATCAATTTAAAGCCTATTTTGTAGATCTGCAACACAACAAAGGTGCTGCTCACTTAGGAGGGAGGGACCGAATATGTGACCCCAAAATAAACTAAAATAACGCTCAAAGAAGACAGTCAAGCATCAACTCGTATCTTCCAAACAATCTCATAGGAACAGATTTTACAGAAGAAACAAAACGATAGATAACTCATGTTCCTCGAGACCACACTTGAATAGCAGTCATTAGATCTCAAATAAACATCACGCGTCTAAGGAAGAAAATTATAGGGTGATCTGAACTAAACAAGAATGAGAACAGTATACACCAATGCACGTCGAACACCATTTCTAACTCCAGATAGTTCACTTGAAGCCACACAATTGATTTTTCTCATACTCGTTTTGGCACTGCTAACCCAACAACATGTTTACACTAACTGAACCAAACACTTAGATAAGTTCTTAAACATGCCAACTTGTGTTTAAAGAAACAGAAAAATGGATCAGATCCAATCGATCATTACAGATATTCATTTAGACAAAAATAGGCATTCATTTGAACTCAGAAATGGCAAGCCACCACAAAAGAGATTCATTAACCAGTGAACAGACCATAAATGCAAGTTCTCAAAATTGTAACATTCTTAACACACTCAATACAAAAGATCGAGATTCATACCTTGAGAGCAACAAAGCAAAGGGAAAAAGAAAATAAATCTCTGATTTCTGAGGAATGAAACCACCACAGAACCAAGAGAGAACAGCTATAGCTCAGTAAACAGCAACAGATTCACACTTCTCGACGAATTCCATTGTTCATCCAAAAACCAGAATTGAAGTAGAAAAACTCTATTATTTCGAAATGCTAATTAAAGCTGATATCCAGTGAAATCATGAAACTTCCATCATATGTTTTTTCTGTTCTAATATCTGAAAAAGGAAAAGAACGAAAGGAAAAGAAGAAGAAAAACTTGAACCCTGATTTTCCTCCTTTAAATTTTCTTTAATAGAAATCTCTCCAAAACCGAAAATCCCTCTGAAAATCTTCTTCCCCTCCCCCCTCACAAGAAATGACCTCACCTTATATATATACCTCAAAAGATCTCGAAGCTTCTATGCTTCCTTCCCAAGAAATCTCCCAAAAATCCTCCAAATCCGAATCTGATTTTTACCCCTTTTTGATGGATAAAACGGACAAATGGAGGGAGTAGATCCAATTTCACTCAATCCTACGCCTCCCATTTTTCCTAATTTCCATCTAAAAGAGTAAAAATCCGAGAAAACAAAGAGAGGGCATGTGAGGGAGAGGGAATCTGTCAGAAACCGTTAGAAATGGCAAGAGGAGAGAGGGAGGGAACGCGTGGTTGGAGATTGGGTTCACTCGCCATGGATTTGGGTGATTTAGGGTGTGATTTTTGTGAGGTAGGCGAGTGAACAGTCGTTGCCTTCTCTGAGTTTTGGGACTTAAGGTTCATCCGTTCATTAGTTATTTGGAACGGGTCGGGTTTGACACGATGGGGCTGGGCGGGTTTAGGTGATTTGGGCTGAGGGTTGAAATGGGTAAGGGGAGAATTGGGCTCAACCCTGATTTGGGCTTAATTGAAATCCCCAACCCAATTAAACTACCCCTTCTCAATTTCGTTTTCCTTTTCTTTTTTCCTTTTTTTAAAATTCTTTTTTAATTCCTTTTTTTCCATTTTAAAGACAGAACAAAAATAAAGTAAAACCTAATTTAAATCCTAACCCAAATTATCCTACCAAATTAAATTAATTAACTCTAACTGATAATTAACCCAATTGACTAAAAACCAAATTAAAGGAAAAACTATCAAAATTCAAAACTAAATTAAAAGTGTAAAAATAGGTTATTTTTTGTGATTTTCCTTTTTTAATTACTAATTAATTCCTAAAAATGCAAAGTGAAATCCTAAATGCACATGCAACATATTTTTTTGTTTTTTTCATTAATTAAATAAAATAAACGTGCACGGACAAATGCAAATAATTGACAGAAAATGCCACAAAAATCCACAAAATTGCAAATAATAAAAAAAATTATTTTGTTTTGAATTTGTGGGAGTAATTCATATAGGGCAAAAATCACGTGCTCACATATGCATGCTAGGGACAGAGAGGAAAAGGAGGCCAAGAGGTCTCGAGAGTCGGGCCATTATTCTGGTGCCTGTGCCCCAGCTGCAGGTCGTCATGGTAGGGGTCATATGGGCCGCCCCGTTCATTCAGCTCTTCCAGCAGCCAGTGGTATTCCAGCTCCACCTAGGCCCTAGGAGCCTTATTATGCACCTCCAGTCTCTAGTGCGCCTCCTGCACGGGGTGCTTCCAATGGTCAGTCCAGCAGACCTGGCCCGAGCCAGTCACAGCCGCCGCGTCCTCCTAGAGCTTGTTTTGAGTATGGTGACACACGCCATGTGGTGAGGGATTGCCCTAGACTTGGAAGGGCTGCATCCCCACAGATCCCTCAGCCGCAGCGCACCTCGCAAAGTTCTCAGGTCATGATCACTGCACCAATTGCTACTCCACCTGCCCAGCCAGCTAGAGGTGGAGGTCGGGGAGGTAGAGGTCGCCCTCGAGGGGGAGGCCAGGCCAGATACTATGCTCTTCCATCCCGTACTGAGGCTGTCGCCTCCGATTCTGTCATCACAGGTACTATCTTGGTCTGTCACAGAGATGCATCGGTTCTATTCGATCCAGGCTCCACTTATTCTTATGTGTCTTCTTATTTTGCTCTACATTTGGGTGTACCTCGGGATTCCTTGAGTTCCCCAGTTTATGTTTCTACTCCTGTGGGAGATTCCCTTGTTGTAGACCGCGTTTACCGGCCATGTTTGGTTATTCTTGGTGGTTTTGAGACCAGAGCCGATTTATTATTGCTCTGCATGGTTGATTTTGATATTATCTTGGGCATGGACTGGTTGGCCCCATTATGCTATTCTTGATTGTCACGCCAAAACTGTGACACTGGCCATGCCAGGTGTACCGCGTATTGAATGGAAGGGTGCTTTAGGTCACACTCCCAGTAGAGTTATTTCTTTCCTTAAGGCTCGGCGTATGGTTGAGAAGGGTTGTGATGCATACTTAGCTTATGTGAGAGATGCCAGTATGGATACTCCTTTTGTTGATTCAGTCCCAATAGTACGGGATTTCCCTGATGTGTTTCTAGCTGATCTTCCAGGCATGCCACCCGATAGAGACATTGATTTTGGCATTAATCTATTGCGGGGCACTCAGCCCATTTCTATCCCTCCATACCGTATGGCTCCTCCTGAGTTGAAGGAGTTGAAGGAGCAATTGTAGGAATTACTTGATAAGGGTTTCACTCGGCCCAGTGTATCGCCTTGGGGTGCTCTTATGTTATTTGTGAAGAAGATGGATGGTTCTATGCGCATGTGTATTGATTACCGCCAGTTGAATAAGGTGACAGTGAAGAACCGTTATCCTTTGCCTCGTATTGATGACCTGTTCGACTAGTTGCAGGGTGCTGTGTGTTTTCTAAGATTGACTTGCGCTCAGGCTATCATCAGTTGAAGATTCGGGAGCCAAATATCCCGAAAACTGCCTTCAGGACTCGGTATGGTCATTACGAGTTCCTTGTTATGTCTTTTGGGCTGACCAATGCCCCAGCAGCCTTCATGCATCTGATGCACAGTGTTTTCCGGCCATATCTTGATTCATTCGTGATCGTTTTTGTTGATGACATTCTGGTATATTCCCGAAGTCGGGAAGATCATGAGCAACACCTGAGGACAGTACTCCAGACCTTGAGAGAGAAGAAGCTGTATGCTAAGTTCTCAAAATGTGAGTTTTGGTTGGGTTCCGTGGCATTCTTGGGTCATGTGGTCTCAACGGAGGGTATTCAGGTGGATCCGAAGAAAGTGGAGGCCGTGCAGAGTTGGCCCAGACCATCCTCAGCTACAGAGATCCGTTTTCTTGGCTTGGCGAGTTATTACCGTCGATTTGTTCAGATGTTTTCATCTATTGCAGCACCTATGACCAGACTGACCCAGAAGGGTGCTCCGTTCCAGTGGACGGAAGAGTGCGAGGAGAGCTTTCAGAAGCTCAAGACATCCCTGACTATAACCCCAGTTTTGATATTGCCTACCGGTTCGGGGTCTTATACTATCTATTGTGATGCCTCGAGAGTTGGCCTTGGGGCGGTATTGATGTAGGATGGTAGGGTGATTGCCTACGCGTCTAGACAGCTGAAGATACATGAGAAGAATTATCCTGTCCATGATCTTGAGTTAGCTGTCATTGTTCATGCCTTGAAGATCTAGCGTCATTACTTGTATGGTGTGCCTTGTGAGATATATACTGATCACCGGAGTTTGCAGCATCTGTTTAAGCAGAAGGACCTTAATTTGCATCAGAGGAGATGGCTAGAGCTGCTGAAGAATTATGACATCACTATCTTGTATCACCTGGGAAGGGCCAATGTGGTGGCCGATGCTTTGAGCCGCCGGGCATAGAGTTTGGGGAGTTTGGCTTATTTACCAGCAGCAGAGAGGCCTATGGTGATGGATGTTCAGGCCCTAGCCAGCCAGTTTGTGAGATTGGATCTTTCGAAGCCCAGTCGGGTTCTAACTTGTGTGGTTTCTCGGTCTTTCTTGTTTGATCGTATCCGGGAGCGTCAGTTTGATGACCCTCATTTGCTTGTCCTCAAGGACAAAGTGCTGCATGGCGATGCTCGAGATGTGACTATTGGTGCTGACGGAGTACTGAGGATGCATGGTCGAGTTTGTGTACCCAATGTTGATGGGCTTCGAGAGTTGATCTTAAAGGAGGCCCATAGTTCGCGGTATTCCATTCATCCGGGTGTCGCGAAGATGTACCAGGATTTGAGGCAGCACTACTGGTGGAGGCGGATGAAGAAGGATATAGTTGGGTTTGTAGCTCGGTGCCTTAATTGTCAGCAGGTGAAGTATGAGCACCAGAGACCGGGTGGATTGCTTCACAAGATAGAGATTTCGGAGTGGAAGTGGGAGCGGATCACCATGGACTTCGTATCTGGGCTCCCACGGACTTTGAGGAAGTTCGATGCCATTTGGGTTATTGTGGATCGGCTGACCAAGTCCGCGCATTTCATCCCTGTGTGTACTACCTATTCCTCGGAGCGGTTGGTGGAGATTTATATCCGAGAGATTGTTCGTCTGCATGGTATTCCAGTTTCCATCATTCTAGACAGAGGTACTCAGTTCACATCGCGATTCTGGAGAGCCGTACAGCAGGAGTTGGGTACTCGGGTGGAGTTGAGCACAACATTTCACCCTCATACGGACGGACAGTCCGAGCACACTATTCAGATTTTTGAGGATATGCTCCGTGCGTGTGTGATTGAGTTTGGAGGTTCTTGGGATCAGTTCTTGCCATTGGCGGAGTTTGCCTACAACAACACAGCTATCAGTCCAGCATTCAGATGGCATCGTACGAGGCCTTATATGGTAGGCGATGTAGATCCCCGGTGGGTTGGTTCGAGCCAGGTGAGGCCAGATTATTGGTCACAGACTTGGTTCAGGATGCTTTGGAGAGAGTCAAGGTGATTCAGGATAGACTCCGTATAGCCCAGTCCAGACAGAAGAGTTACGCGGACCGGAAGGTTCGTGATGTTTCCTATATGGTTGGAGAGCGGGTTCTGCTTCGGGTTTCGCCTATGAAGGGCGTTATGAGATTTTGGAAGAAGGGGAAGTTGAGTCCGAGGTTAATTGGCCCTTTCCAGATATTGAGGCGTGTTGGGGAGGTTGCTTACGAGCTTGCCTTACCTCCCAGCTTGGCAGGAGTCCATCCGGTATTTCATGTTTCGATGCTCTGGAGGTATCACGGTGATCCGTCGCACGTGTTGGATTTCACCTCAGTTCAGTTGGAGAAGGATCTATCTTATGTTGAGGAGCCAGTGGCAATATTGGACTAAGAGTGTACTGTGGGCCGGGCCCAGCCCGGGACCGCGGGCCTAACGGGCCGGTCTTAGTGGGCCGGTCCCAAATGGTGCATTAAGCTTGTAGTGGGCCGGTCCTACACAAATAGCCTACGAGCCCGGGACCGGTAGGCGGGCCTGGGCCGGTTCAACGGGCCTAACGGGCCAAACGGTCCTCAGCGGCTATATTTTAAAAAAAAAAATTTTAAAAATGACCAATGGTCAGATTTTAAAATCTAGCCGTTGGCCATCAAAAAATAGCTGTTTGGGAGTTTAAAAAATAGCCATTTGGCCCCCCAATTTTAATTTAACCCCAAACTTTATATAATTACACTTTTTCCCAATTCTCAACTATAAATACCACCTCATTCTTTCATTTTTACTCACAAATTCATCAATCTCTCTCATTCTATATCTAATTCTCTTCTATAATTGCTTACTTTATTATGCAATTTCGTGAAAAATTGTGAAGTTGGTGAATTGAAGTATTCAAGTCTTCAAGTCTTCAACGA